TGTATGTATGCTAGTGTATGGCTGAGCTTATCCTCCGATTTGTGGCGTGAGCCTTGATGTCGTCACACAAAGGGGAGGGACCTACAGTTTTACGCCGACTCCGAAAGGCGATTGTATTTTTATGAGAAGCTAAAATACATGGCATGGCAGAAATACACTCGGAGGTTTGCCATTGCTTGCCGAGGGGCGACCGCTAATAAGAAAAAACCTTTTTTCTATATTTTTTTGCGATGTTGCATTGACCAGGGCTAGAACCCAGGCACTATGAAATGGAAGCGCGCACTGCTTACCACTACGCCACAGCGGCGGTAAACCTATACATAAAACTGGGCCCAAATCTCGGCATCCATGTTCGAATGAAACTCGATTCGTATCGAATGAAATAAAATTACAGCTGTTCTCCAATAAAATTTTTAGTGCTGAACACACTGAAAACGACGGGCTACGGACCACAGCTGTCAAATTATTTTAACACGTACTTTTATGTCGGTAATTAGATCAATTTTTCCAGCGACAGATAAGGTTCTTCCTCTTCGTTTATGTCAAACTCATACAAATTCATGATGTCGCTGCCGCGTTCAAAAAATTCATGTGGCCCGTAGCCCGTCGTTTTCAATGTGTTCAGCACTTCACTTGAAAAAGCGAACTCATATCCGAATGCTCAAAAAGAAATTTCGTATAAACTTTGATTCGATCACGGATGCTTTGATTCAGTCCCTGTGTTAATTTAATTGGAGGGAGGCTCAAACAATTAAATTTTAATTTTTATTTGCGGTGTGTTCGATGACAAATTATGTATGTTCATTTAAATATGTTGGCTTTATTTCCAGAAAATATTGGTAGATTTTTAGGCTTTGTTAGATAATATAGCTAAAAAGTTGGTAGAAAAAGTGGTAAAGTCCGTGCACTGAGCCGTCTTACTTTTAATTTTAGTGTCATTATTATTATTATTAAAATACATATTTTGATATTTTTTTCGAAGTATTTAATTAGGAGGCGCGTTAAAACACACGCTTGCTTGTCACTTTTAACTGTCTCCAAGATAATACATAGCTAGCCGTTAGCATACAAACATATTTACATCTTGGATTTTGGGTTCGAGGGCACGGTTTCCAGCTTTTAAAATTTAAATCAAAGACAATTGATTGCTAATAGCTCCATGATTTGGGCATTAAAACGTGATAAAACTTGCGATGAAACATATTGAATGTTATCATAACTAACTACTATCCTTCAAAATGTTGTGTACAAACGTTAATATGTACATATATATTTACTACGTAGTATGTACATAAATATATGTGTGTACCTAGAATTTATTGATTTAAGGTACTGATTTCTTGTTTGAAAATCGCCGGCCAGTTTCGGCATTTCTTAAAGAAATTGGTCACATGTACATACATATATGTAGATACATATATACATGTATTTATGTATGAACATTCACACAAACACAAATTTAGAAAATAGGTGTGATAGAATTTTACCATAACGCCAGTATCCACCTTCATACACTTGCTTATAAGGCTGTTTGTATGTATGTACATATAAAATATTTGAGTAAATAAATGATAGCATTTATTGTATTTTAATAAGTAAGTAATCTTTAGCGATTGCTTTTCGCGAATCTTATCGCTTTATAATTCTAAGCGTTAACAACCAATATGATGACCTAGCGTTAAAATATTCGTCTAGTGTGTAAGTGTGATTTTTTTAAGTAATTCTTCTATGAAAATGTTGAACATGTAAATTTTTATTGTTAAAAAAAGCTATATTTACTTCAATACTAACGGTGTTAAAGAGAACTAGTAAAACCTAAAGGTCTGATTATGCATACTTCACACAACTTCTAAAACGTAACACAACTTTGCAAAAGCTAAGGCTGATTATGCTTCGCATGCAGCCAAATTTATCTGCACTAGCAACCTTGTGCATCGACGCAATGGTATGTGAACAAAAACAGCTGATTTTTGGTTTCTTAAGGTAAATGGATTTGTTTACGGAAAAATCCATTCAAGTAGTCCAAATTAAGTCGGCACTAGAGTTCTTTGCAGTTTGACATAATTTTCAATGCAATATCTGTTAAGATATATAAATAAAATGCGCATGTTTTTCTAAAAAAAAAAATTAACTACATATACTAAACGATATATTTAGTAGGAAAAGCATACAAATACCTTTGATTTGATACATAATTTTATATAGTTAGATTTAAGGACATCTGCCAACAGCGGAATAAAACAACTGTACTGATATTTTAATTTCTTAATTTATTTTATATAACACGATATTTTACTACAAAATGAAAATTTTGAATAAAAAATAGCGAGATATTTTCTTTCAAATGTTCGCCTGCAGAACTTTTTTTGTTTTGACATATAATATCATATTTTAATATTTAGTGATATTACCGAAGAATTTTTTATTTTAAATCATATATTTAATTAAAGATGTTTTTGTGCTCTTTCTTATCTTGTGCATATCTTTTATTATATGTAGTTAATTACGTATTAAAAAAAACAAATTTTTATTTAAAAAAAGATTGCCATAATTTATATATACATATATGTATATAATATGCACACATCAAATCAAAGGACTTTCAATAACCTTTTCAACTATATCCATACTTTGAAAATTGGTTCAAAACTTTTCAAAATATAAGCTTTTGAAAATATTGAAAATTCCACGTTTACCTTCCCTAGCACCGCTCCTATGAATTTGCACAAAAAAAACATGTATTCCATTAAAATCAGAGATAAGCGGCGGGTCATGGTCAGTTTTTCGTTTTTTAGCTCATGTTTCCAAAATTACATGGATAGAATCGTGAATTCCCTTAATATGCTTTCCATGCATCTCTGTAAAAATTATGCTATTGGTACCACTGCAATTGAAATGTCACTTAAGAAAATGTGAGGCAAAATCTAAACTCAACAGATCACTAATTTTTCACAAGTTCTGCTAATTTCTTGGTAATGGAATACATACATACACAAGTAATTTTTAGCAAAAAAAAACCGACTTCAACTCTCATATAAAAAATATATACATATATATATATCTCATGATCCACTGATCGGATCTTAACCAGATTAGTATGGGACCTCTGAGACACTACCTTTCCGATGCAAAAAGAATTATCGAAATCGGTTGACGTGGTCCAAAGTTATGCGGTAGCATACATAAAAACAAAAAAAAACCAAAAAAAAATATTCCGACGAACTGATAAACTCCTCCTTTTTTGGAAGTCGGTTAAAAATTCATTCAACAGATTTTCACCTGATAGTTTGAAATTTATGCGAAGTATGCATAGTAAGGCCATAACTCTTTCGTGCAATTTTAATCACTTTTCAGTGTGCAAAAGGCTGTTGGACTTTCGTAATTTTTCAAACACTTCCCGCTTTTAGTTGAGCAATAGATCGGATATCGTAGTTCATGTTCGAAAATGCTCTATCAACTATCAACAAACCAACTATTGAACTATGTATAAGCTCCCTAATAAATTTACACTCAGAAAAAAGCATTTGCTTAAAATAAGAAAACAGTATCCTTATTTTAGGGTTACTGTTTTTTCCTTAACATTACGAAAAATTTACTCAATTTGAGAAATATTTTCTTAATTCAAAAATAGGGCGTCATTAATTTGAGGAAGTAAATTTACTCAATATAAGTAATAATTTCCTCAATATATGTAATAATTTCCTCAAATAATTTTGAATTTTGTCAGTGCTGTTAAGACAAAGTTAATTGCTTTCCTGGCAAATGTCGGCTGTGGCGTCGCGTGAAGGCTACTGCTTCTGGTTCTGAGATCGCAGGTTCTAGTCCGGTTGGAGGTGGTTTAAGTAAGGTAAGTTCAATTATTTCAATTTAAATATAAATTGCAAATTGTAAAATTAATTTAATATATGGAAAAACATAAATACTCAAATACCATAAAAAATAAATTAGATAATTTTTTTTTTATTCAATACAATTTAAAAAATTACAATAAAAATAAATAAATAAAAAATAAAAATATTTAAAAAAAATTCCTGCCCTGGGGCTCGAACCTCTCGACTAGCGCTCCAGAGCTTTGCCCTGTCGGCCATTGCCATGACCAAAATGGCATACTTATTCCTTTCACGGGGGATGAATGGTAAGTAAATGTTTCCTAAAAACTAAGGAATTGTGTCATTGGAGCCATTTCAAGGTAATATTTCCTTATAATAATATACTTTTTTCTTAGCATCAAGGAATGTTTTTTCTTACAGCCAGTTTCACCAAACTATTTAAGTGGAAATTAACTTTAATTTAATTTTGTATTTAATTCTCATTTAAATAATTTTCAGTTTCAATAAACTATTTTGAAAGCTTTGGCACGCTGTGTTGTAAAAGCAGGGCTGGTATACAAGTAAGCAGCAGATACACAATGATCAGGTGATTAAACGTGTAACACCTCTGAGTGTGGTTATTCTGATTTAACTTTTATTTAAGTGCAGAGCATAGGTCACTTAAATCAAAATTAAAATTGATCGGTGAAACCGAAATTAAAGTAATTTTCACTTAAATAATTTGGTGAAACTGGCTGTTAGTGTAGATAAAACTACTTGCTACTTTTCAAAGGAATTAAATTTAATGTACATATATCTCCCATAGGCGCACAACCGATAGTAATGTGGTTGAGTTACATGTGTACGAGTATTTTAGCAAGTATGTTTACATATTTACATATTCCCACGATCTTCAAAAGTGGCAAAACTCTAAATTTGACATTTTTGAAATAATGCACTAAAAATGTACACAGAGCTTTTATTTACCTTTCAGCAAAATCTGGAGCAAATTTTTGTTATAATTTGTTGAAAAAACCCAAGGGTAAGTCTCCCTTGCCCATATGATTAGCATGTGCTACTAAATATTTTTAAGCATTTTCTGACGAACGTGTAATTTTGAGTTGTGTCACTTTTGAAGATGGTGTGCGATATGTACTTAGATAAGTATTTCGCACTTTCTTGGTCACTCACCTTGCGCAATTCTGACGGCGGGCATTTTAATTCTCATCTTTCCTGAGTTGGCGTTTAGTAGGATCTGTTAAAGCCAATCGCAGGGTTAATCCACACCAAGAGTCACTGCGGCCACGGCTTCAGTTCGTGAATAGCGACGGGAATTTTCGCTACCCGATAAACTCACGCTCGCACAGGTTGATATGTAAATGGCATGTCCGGAATCAGTCTAAGTATATATTTGCACACAAATCTGGCTTCTTTTTATTATACATATGTATGTATGTTTCTAAACCTAAAATGCACACCCGCTGGTGCCGCGTTTGATTCTCCCATAGAATAGAATAGCGAAATCTAAAATCACGCGTCAACACTTGGAATCAAAATTTTTTAAGGTGGAAACAGAGTAAAAATTTATTTTAAACAAATACGTTTGTACATATGTATGTATCTTAGAGTAAATATTTTCATTTTCATAGCATGAACTTGAATGCATTCGCAATAATAATATGCATGCAAGTGTGTATATTTTTTTACTAACGATAGGAACCTTGTACACTTTGTTTTAAAGAAAAAATTTGCAGACGATATTTTTTTACTTAATTGCAGTTTTATTCCAGAGACGCTGACGTTTATGGAATTTCATTGCAGCTTTGATAAATGTGTTTCAGTTTTTCTTGTTGTTTGTCTTTCACTACGCACATAAAAAACATATTTCGTAGTACTCATTATGTACATTTGTATGTATTTATGTGTATTTGTATGTATTTGTACACAGGGGTTTGTATTGTAATTTAGGGATTCGTATGTATGTATTATGGCAGATATTCTTATTGCATATTTTGTCACATCTTTACATTTTCACCTTTTCCAATTCGACAATTCGATTCCAATTAGAAAACTTCACAGAATCACTTGTAAGCGAGCGAGAGAGAGAGTTAAATAAAACAGTTACCGGTCACTGATTTGATGTTGGAGAGAAATATGTATATCTAAATATGTATGTACTACACTATAAAACCGTGTGTCCTTCGCTTTTGCACTTCCTGAGTGCAAGTGCGAGTATGAGTACGTCCGCGCACGTCGATGTCCTGCGAGTGACTGTGGCCACATACATTGGGATAATTCAATTTTATCTAACGGTTTTTACACTTTGATGCCAATTTGAAAATTTGATTTTGGTTTATTGGTTAGGTTTTTTTGTGGCGGCGGCCGCATCGGTGGAGGTGGCGTTGGTGGAGTCGACTTTTGTGCTGGTGGAAGTAGCTAGCGCGACTGAATTAGCGACGGAAATGGATAAGCAGCTGACAGGCGGCTGGCGAGGACGTTTCGCTCACTTGCTAACATGCGACGTGATAGGGGTGACATGCCATTTGCCGCCACACTCTCCCAGAGACATGTCTATCCACTCCATCCACTTACGTGCAAATGTATGTGCGCGCTCATGTGTCTGTACATACATACATATTCATGTTTGCAACACCGATGAACACCAGCTCAATCACACACATTTCCACACGTGTGTATATACATACATACATATGTGCTTATGTTTGTTGGTTATGTGGGTGGACACGGGTTCCGACACCACTTGGTGGCTTAACTCTTTCATATACTGCTCCGGTGCGCCGGAATTACATACGATTTCTGATCTGTTTTCAGAAGTTTCGGCGGCTGAAACGAGCGTAAGTTTTTAACCAGGCTTGATACTAACTTTGCATTCGGGGCAAATTGCTTAGCTTTTAATATCTGATGTGACACTGGACTTTGCTGAATTAAGTTTATTTAGCACGAACTGTTTTTTTTTTATTTTGTGCACGAGTCGAATACATATCTTATTCGACATGAAACTGGAGTGACTAAAACCGTTCCTGCGACACTTCTGCACTGGTTGCCACGTACGTTTGTGCGCGGGTGTGAATGATATTAACCGCGAAACACACGCTAGTGCAAATTGACGCAGATATACTAAAGAACAATGACACTACTCGTAAACTATCACAAGAAAGCACGTCTTCACAACGCGACAGTCCGTGTGCATCTAACTAATAAACTCACATTAGTCGCATCCGTCCATTTACCATCTACCATTTACCATTCATACGGCTACTGCTCTGTCATTCTGTCGCGCTTGGCTTTCTTTGTTAGTTTTAGCTTTGCTCACTTCTCCTTCAGCGACTAGCCAACCGGCCGACCTTTCAGCTCGGTTGAAATCGACTTGACTCGAAAGTCGCCACTCGCCACTCACGAGCTATGTACCCGTACCCACATATGTACATTCATATGTACGCCTGGCTGACTGACTTGCCTCATTTGCTTGCTCATTCACGCTCACCACATACACCATGATAAAGTGGCGCGACGGCGTCAGCAATTGTGTTGTGTTGGTGGAGACGGCAACGGTGACGGTGGCGACGACGACGACGTCAACGACAACGGAGTTGGCAAGGGGCACCACAGGGAACAGCGGCTCCAGCAGCGACAGGGGTTTCTCATGAGCACAACAGCGCTTCGGGTTTGGAGTACGATATGAAGCACTGGTGTTTAGTGGTTAAGAGCGCGGACTGGTGCGTTATGGCTAGCGGTTTAGGTTTGAAGGCGGGATGGTTGAACGGTATTGGGGCAGCAGAGGATGAAGAAAAATGAAGTAAAGAGGGGTGGAGTACAAACGTTTGGCCGCGCTACCACACAGTCTAGAGATACTGCGACAGCGTTGCTACTTTTGCTGAAAACTGGAGTGAGTAAATGGGCTATTTGTGTGCACGTGTGTTGCTAACTGTTAGCGTCCGGAGAACGGATGGCGGAGGACGATTTGTGTCGTCTGCTCAGCAGCACATGGACAAATTCATACAAACCGTCAAATGTACGTATGAATATATATATGTAGATGCAAATATGTCTGAACGTGGTTGTAGATATGTTTGTGTGAATTATACGTAGGCTTGCACATGCGGTAAGGAGAGTGCTGGTGTGTTGAGAAGGTGGCGGCGATGCTGCTGCCATTGATGCTGCTCTTGTGGCTGCATACAAATGTACACAAACATATTCATAATAAATGTGTATGAATGTGTGTTTATATGTCCATACATGGGCATATAGTACATACATGCTGATTCAATATTTTGTTTTGAACGCTGTTTGTTTACTTATTGCTTTGACAATACTACATACCGCCTTACGGTTGGCGCACCTTGCGTAGCTGGTCCGACCTCATCTTTGGCAATAACAGTAAGATCGTCAGTAACATGACTGTATGTCTATTAGGGATGTCAATTTTCGGGGTTTTGTCGATCCCTGGATTTTCGGGATCTCAAAATACAATCCCGGGATTGTCCCGAAATTCAGGTAAAAGTGCAACACATCTGTGATCATCCTATTCATGGGCGTAGCCAGAACGAAATTTAGGGGGGGGGGGGGGCATACAAAATAAAAAATTCAAAACCAATAACTTACTTATGTACTAAAATTTTTTTTATTATAGCTTAAAATTATTGTAACCAATAAAGGTAAATATGTTGTACAAAAAACAAATAAACAGAAGTTCACAAAAGTTGATATAAAACTATTCGCCGATTTAAATTGTTAACTTTTTACTGAGCATGTTTATTTTACGAGGAGGAAGCATCGAAAGCCTAACCCCTTCCGTGTGAGACTTTAACCCAAACTAAAATTCCTACCGTCATGTACCGTTCCCCTCCCGGTACCACCGTCAAGGATTTCGTCGGGATTATAACACTGTGTGACTGATAAGGTTATAGATCTATTCTCTTCCTCTTCTTCCTTTTTGGCGCTGTAACCGCCAAAGCGATTTTGACCAACTGACGCCTATTAGAAATGCCAAGTGAAGCCAGAATACTTTCAGAGCTGGGGCGTCGGTGTCCATTCGAACGACATGATCAAGCCAGTTGAGCCGCTGTATTTTAGTACGCCACATACCAGCACGGGCATGATGAGTGATTTATAGTGTGGTTTTCGTACGTCGAGAGAGGACTTTACTCCTGAATTGCCTACTCAGTCCAAAGCAGCACTTGTTGGCAAAAGCGATTCTGCGTTGGATTTCCATGCTGACATTATTACAGGCGTTAATGCTGGTTCCCAAGTGAACGAAATTCTCTACTTCCTCGAAATTATAACTGTCAAAAGTGACTTGGGTGCCAGGCGCGAATGTGCTGATTGTTTGTTTGATGACAGGAGATACTTCGTCTTGTCGTCGTTTACCACCAGACCCATTCGCTTTGCTTCCTTGTCCAACTTGGAAAAGTCAGGACAGACTTCGCGGTTTTTCTTACCGATGATGTCAGTGTCATCGGCATAAGCCAGCAATTGTACGCTCTTGTAGTAAATTGTTCCTAAGCGGTTCAGTTCTGAAGATCTTATTATCTTCTCCAACATCAGATTAAAGAAGCCACATGAAAGAGAGCCGCCCTGTCTGAAACCCCGTCTGGTGGCGAAAGGCAACAGAGCAGAGCTGGTGGTATTACTCAACGTCATTTTTCACAGGCGAAAGCGGCTTTAAAGTCTACAAATAGGTGGTGAGTGCGGATCATTTTCTCGCGGGTCTTTTCCAAGATTCGGCGTACTGTGAATACCTGGTCTATGGTAGACAATACATTCGATAAGACCTTGCAACCTATGCTTAGAAGGCTGATCCCGCGGTAGTTGGTACGCATGGCGGGGTCGCCTTTCTTGTGGATTGAGCGCACTTGAATTCCAGTCGTCGGGCATGCACCTTATTACCTCCTTGCCATCGTAATAAAATAGCTCAGCTGACAGGCCGTCAGCTCAAACAGCTTTGGCACTTTTCTTCATAGTCAGGCGCTGGGATATCGACTCCATCGTCATCGACTGGGACCTCGAAGTGCTTCCGCTATTCAAAAGGGTCGAAAAGTGTTCTCTCCAAAATCTGAGTACGTTCTGGACATCGGTCACTAGGTCGCCATGGTTGTTCATACAAGAGTCTTGAAACCTTCCGTAAGTCGCTCAACTCTCTGCTAAAAATTTCGGGTGTTTTTTCTGTCGGACAGCATTTCAATCATTTTCTCACACTCGTGATCGTACCAGTAATTAGCGGGAAATGTGGTTCCACTGCTAGCGCAAGTCGGTTTGTTGAAGAGTGCTCTCTCACAGCAGGTGTGAGGGTCGAGCGCCGAATCCATTGGCCGTCTGTTTTGATTGCAGCTTTTCGACGTTGAACTTTCCCTGCATTGTTGGGGGCCCTTTTTTTGCTTCTCCGAGGTTAGGTCGTATATTGGATGCATCAATATAGTAGTGCGAGTCGATGTTTGGCCCTCGGAGTGTACGTATGTACATCTAAAACAAGGAAGCATGTCTTCCGTCTATCACAACATGCTCGATTTGGTTTCCCGTTTTTCGATGTGGAGACATCCATGTAGCTTGAGAGAACGAAAAATGACACTGAAGATGGAACAACGCCGAAACCGGTTTGTCTCCAAACCAAATTTGACAAGGGACGATGGAAAATCGTTCCACAATACATCACACTCCTACCCTGTCGGAACCACCAACAACGAAAATGAGAATAGCTTGATGATGATGCCAAGCTTCGGGCCCCGGCGAAGTGGATCATCCTCAGCCCGCCGTTTCTATGTGGAGGCTGATTTTTTCAACACTGGCACCAAAGATCCCTTCGTTGCCCACCTTGGCATTTAAATGGCCAAGCACGATTTTTATACGTGTCGGGGGCAGCGCTAATATGTACGCTCTAAGCTAAGAGAGCCTTGGATGCCTCGTCCTTCTCTTCCATCGGGGCATTGGCACATGTGAATGAGATGTTGAAGAATCTCGCTTTGATGCGGATTGTGGCTAGACTTTCGTCCACAAGAGTGAACGCCGGTCTCTCTCCCACCACAAATCCAACACCGAATTGCACTCCTTTACGTGGCAACTGTAGTAGACGTCGCAAGGCTCACGCTTACCTTCCTCGCCCCGTCCATCGCATTTCGTGGATGGAGCTGATGTCAGCCTTTATTTTCCCTAGGACTTCAACCAGCCGGGCAGAGGCACCATCCTGATTAATCCCAAGCGCACGCGGGGTGTTACGCCCTCCCACTTTACCTCGCTCCCAAACTAGCGTTCGGTCGCTACCCAGAGTATTCATGGATATAAATATCCGGACGTAGTTAGCTGCGATTTGAACCGTAAGCACACGAATCACTTCTGGCCACTCCCAGGTGAATGGCCGTCAAAAGCTTTGCAGTACTGGAAAATGTACAAAACATAGTGGCCAAAAACGAATATCTCAACTAAATCCTGATGAATTTTTTTAAATTCGCTCTACATACCTGTATAATAAACCAAATAGCCGGACAAAACGTTAAATGATATACATACATATGTATGTATGTATAAGTATGAGGGCGTATTGAACATTTTGAGTACGCAGATTTTTTAGGCTGGTATATTTATTTATGCTAAATATATTACTTGATTTTGTTTTGTCACACGTTAGAAGTAAACGTCTTGGCTGTTCACCCAACCGCTTAGTAAAGACACAAACCTAAAGACAAAGTAATAAATAATTGAACTATAAATTTATTTATAGTTTCCGTTCAATCAATTTTTGCTCATTGTCGACTGCAGCCAGGTTTTTACCCTTTTAAAATGGAAGTGCTTTGAAGTTAGAGATAATAACTTGATACAGAACCGGATGATCCACATATCTACTTTTCAAATCAGTTTACTAATTATTTAGTTAGCGTTGGGAGTATAATTTGTTATACAGTTTATATATAGGAAAAGCCTTGAAATTTAGGGGGGGCCGAAATTATCAAGCAAGCATTTCGTGGTAGTATTTTTGAATATCTAGGCAAAAATTTGAAAGTTAGGGGGGCCGGCCCCCCCCCCCCTGCCCCTACCTGGCTACGCCCATGATCCTATTATAGTATTTTAAATCAGATTGATATAACAAAAAAAAGTACAATTTATTGTAATTCATTTACATATTTATTAAGGCGATAAATCAGTATTTATTTTCTATCAACAAAAAACAAACATAAAAATTGACAAACATATATGTATGTTTGTACACATCCTCATTAATTTATAACATAGTTTTTGTACTACAAGTACAAATGCATATACGGTCACTCACAGAAATATTTTGCATAGATTTTTTTTTGCAATATTCAGAATATTTTTCATGGTATTTTTT